ACCTATTTGTGTGTACGAGTTAAGACATATATGTCTTATAATCAGAACCGGGGTTTAGGGGTTTTCTTATAAACAGGGGGTGTCTTCTAAACGAGCCTTCTTTACTTTAGGGGGGTACATCCATACATTCATGAATCTCTACTTCTACCTAACCCCCCTCTGTCACCGCCTCCTCGCCTGCGCTAACAACAGGCTCTACACCCAGGTCTCGCACTCGCCAGGCATGCCTAGCCGTCTCCCTAGGCTCGATCATGCGGTCAGCCTCGGCCGCCGCCCCGCGGTAGTTGGGGGTCTCCTGGTACAGCACCTCCAGGCCGGTTGCCACTGCCACCTCCCGCACGCCCTCCGCCTGCATCGCCTCCTCCTCCTCCTCCTCCTCCTCCTCCTCCTCCTCCTCCTCCTCTGGAGCCCGACCGAGCAGGCGCGTGTTGTCGCCTGTGGTCCCCCCGAGGGACATGTCCGCGGAGACATCAGTGGTGCTCCTGGCGCGCAGGTGAGACATCACCAGGTGGTTCTCCGTTCCGTCCAGCTTGCTTGAGATCCCACAGTGGCGGAACGCGTCGATGATGATCTGCTTGGGGACTTGATCCCAAGCCTCCGCGATCCACTGCAGCACCATGGGGTGGGGCGGCCTCCGCGGGTTTCCTGCGGGTGGGTTTGAGGACGGGGCAGCGAGATGTTAGAGACACGGACATGAAGGAGCATGTTTAAGACAAGGACAGGAAACAGAATAGGAATAATACCATAAATGAAGGACCAACTCACCCTTATTCGTCTTCAGGTGAATCCCCTCACGCATGAACCACCTGGCGTAGCGCGCTCGCACAGCAGCCTTGAAGCACCGGTTGATTGAGACGTCCAGGGGTTGAATCTGGCTCGTACAACCCGCTGGGATGACTGCAGGGGTGATGCTGTGCGTGCGGTACGACTGAAGCATGGTCTGGGTGATGTGACCGCGGTAGGAGTCCAACACCAGCATCGCACGCCTCGCGTTCTGGCCGCGCTGGGGGTTCAGATGGGGCAGCACCTCCTTGGACAGCCAGGTCTGCACAGCGCTCTCGTCCATCCACCCGTTGTCCTGTGCTTGGACCACGATTCCTGCCAGGCACACAAGGGACAGACGGGCTTCAGCACAGTGGGGCACGCTCATCAGGCAGTCGCACGGTTGAATTCATTACGCTTACCTTCCGGAATCTCACAGTTGGGGACGTTCTTCATCTTGAACCACACCCACGGCCGCAGCTTCTCCCCGGATGCAGTGCACGCGAGCATCACCGTCAAGCGCGTTTTCTGGTAGCCTGCAGTGCGGATTGGGACCGAGCGCGCGCCGCGGTGCTCGATCGTCCGTTCGGCTGGCATCTCCACGAATAGTGGAGTCTGGTCCGCGTTGATGATGCGGGCCAGGTCGATGTTGTGCCGCGCCCTGTTGATGCGCACGAACTTCCAGAAGGACTCGCAGTCCTTCGCGCACTCTGCAAACGGTACACGCGCAACGGAAACACGGGATGGTTAGACACTGGGTGAGGGACATGCATTCAATAGCCCGCGCGCGACACGAATTCCTTCAACACGCACCTGCCGACAGTCGTTGGCCGACCTTGGTCTTCACCCGCATCACCAGGTTCCAGCGGTCACGGAAACGCTGGCTCCAGTGAGAGCTCGCGTTCCAGTTCTTGCCGGCGTGATGCTTCTTCATCCACTCGCGGCTCCACTTCTGGGTGTCCTTCACCGAGATGGCCACCCCGTTAGCGCGCTGAAGGCAGATGTAGCGGTACAACGCTGCCTCCATGTCGGGGTAGTGTGAGTGGCGCCCCCCCCCCCGTGCATCCGCTTGCGGCAGTTAGCCGCGCCCTTGTAGACGCCCGCAGCCGCCTCCGCACTCCAGCGTCTAATGCAGGCGATGGACGCGGTTGACTCCACGCTCGTCTTCTTCAAGGAGCCGAGCTCCAGATAGCGGCGTGCCCACTTAAGCTTCTCACGCACGGTCCAACTGCGGCGCTTCCTCGTAGTGTCCTTGCTGCGAGGGGAAGGTGGGCGGGTGTTGGGATTATGGAGGGTGGGGTCCTTCGGCGTGACCTTCTCAGGGAACGTGGGAATCGGGCCCGCCGCCGCCGCGTACTCATCGTCGCTGCCCAGAGTCTCGTTCACGACGATGTCGTCAGGATTCGGCGCCTTCATCGCCTTCTTCTTAGCCGCACCCTTGCTAGATCCCGGGTCTCCGTCGGATGTCCGCTTCTTGTTGCTTGTGCGGCGACGAGCAGGGGCCTTAGCAGGGGCTTCCGCGACCTTGGCTTTTCCGTTCTCCGCAGCGGTGAGTTTCGGGCGACGCTCCTCCCCCGGACTGTCGTCGTCAGAGAGCACCACGCGGGCCCGCTTCGACTTGGACTGTATGCGATGGCGCAGCCTCCGCTTCAGTAGCGGAACGTCATCGTCTGTCCCAAGGCTACATGGGTCGTCGTCGCCGCTTTCACCGTCAAATAAGACGGCATCCGCAGCAACCGTGTCCGACTCTGCCACAGCATCCGCATCCGCAACTGCGGCCGCGCCGTCTTCAGCCTCCTCATTCGCATCCATCGCCGCTTCCTGTGCATCCGCCGCTGCCTCCGCGTTGTCACCATTCGCATTTTCACCTCCGTCGTTGTCCGAATCTCCAGCCCGCCACTCTTCCACCTCGTCGTCGCTCCCGACCGGCCGATTCCACCATTCGTCCTCCTCGATGTCGGCAGGACCTAATTCGTCGCCCGAAGCGCTGTCGTCGTGGCCGTTCTCTGGCCAATCCTCCTCGGCGTCGTCGCCGTTCGCTTCTTCTCCGTCGTCCCCGTCACAGCTCGCACCGGAGGCCGCGGTAGGACTTCCCGCCTTGCTCGCGTTCTTCGCCATGGCTACACGGATGTCATCGCCGGGCGAGTTAATTCGCCCGTAGTTATTCACCTGCACGTGAGGACGAGGAGAGGACGAGCCTGGGGGTACTTTGCTGCGCATGGTTAGAAAGCCTGCCGAGAGCAAGGTTGAGACGAGTATTCCTAAACCCTTGAGCACCAAATGAAGTGAGAGGCCGACTACCCCCCCCAGCCAGAGTGCCCCATCCACAGGTGCCGAGCCGCTCCTCTACGAGGCATCTCTTCGTAGAGGACAGCCCTCACGCTGCCAACGTGCTGCCAGCAGCGTTCTGGAAGCATCCCTGCGCTGCTGGCAGCAAAACGACGCTGGCAGCATCATTAGATGCTGCCAGCACAGAGGAATATTGCCAGCGGTGGCAGCTCCCTCACGTGGCAAGTGTGGGCGCTGCATGCATCACCACCGAGGTCGGCCTGTTTCAATGAATCTGGTCTCTGGGTGTTTTCTACACACTTTGCAAGTGTTACAGTCAACTTAAATTTTTTTCCATTTATAAGACTTATAAGACACCCTAAACCATCCCGTTTACAAGATAACTCAAGCATTTTTGCCCGTGTACGAGATAAGACATATATGTCTTATATCCGGGCGATGACGGTAACGCGCGCTTTGTTACCGGGGAAAATATCCCCACTCTCCATAAAGTCAGCGCGCTGTGTTTCCTGCTGGCTGTACACTCGACTGATTTGTGCAGGGCGGGTGTGATTGACCTATCTGGTGTGCGAGTGTAACGTTTCCATGTCTTATTACCATGCCCCATTGGATCTCTTCAGCTGGCATGCATCAGACACGCTGCGACTGTAGTTAGTCACCCTCAGAGGCGTTCCTTCTGGAGCGAGTGTACCGATCGAACGGGCGAGTCACACCTGTTCGAGTCACAGATTTCTGCTGTCAGAGCCTATTTCGACCAATCCCAGCAAAGTATATCTGACATTGCAGATTCACGCGATCTCGATGGTAGGTGTATCAGAACGAAGTTTCGAAGAAACTTCGTCTCGATAAAGCGGGAAGGGGGGGGATTACGCACATGTGGGGGGATCACTGCGATCAATCCAAGGCGGGGTCATCGGAAGGAAACTTCCGAGAAACTTCCTCTCGATAAGTCAGGGTCCACACAGTCGATATACTCTGTTAAGTCAGGGTCCACTAACAGCCTAGTCTGTTACACTGTACTCAAAATCAGGGATAGCTAAACTATTATTCTGATTGGATCAGGGCTGGAAATTCAATAACTCTGAAATTTCAGTCTCCACGAAGTGGAAAGCCTGAAATCACCCTGAAATCACCCTGAAATCAGCCCTGGACGGAACCCCTTCTATTCACCCGGAACTCCGCGCCTCCTGGCTGCTTGGGGACCCCTTCCGCCCCCCCTAGTCCTTCCTTTTTTTAGCATAGAGAGCTCCCCAGCCGTGCTGGTGGTTATCCTTGGGATATGGAAATAACGTGTTTCCTACGTACGCCTTTGGGCTGTTGGTTTGTGTATACCATATTTCTAGTTGCTTTGCTGTACATGGTTACGACCTTATATAACCTTAACCTTACCCATTCCATCCCACGCCGTCAGCTTGTCTTCAGCACGGCCTATTCGTTGGGCTGGTCTAGTTGTTTGGTGAACATGTGTTGGTGAATTTGTCACTCCGAGCCTTCACCTTTCTCTGCATGTCCCCCACTGCCCACTGCCGACCAAAAAAAATCAGAACCCAACTTAGGAGATGCTTATTCACTAAATCGCTCTCACAGAATCTCACTGTCTCTTTCCAAAACCTCGTTTTGTTCATCTAGACCTACCTGGTAGAGCAATGCCGTACGTTCCGCCCCATATGCGAGCTGGTGCAAGGATTTCTGGTTCCGAACCTCCTCCGGGGAGGACGCCAGCAGCGTCGGTTCGAGGACATGCAGGCTCGGAAAATAGGTCTGGGAGAGGTCGAGGCAGAGGCCGTGGTCAGGCGGGTGGCCGAGGCAGAATCCTCTCGATAAGAAATGCTCCCGATGTTGCACGGGCTACAATAATTGACGATTTTGCCGAGCGAGAATCATCCGTTATTGAAACACCTTGCAGCAGCAACTGTGCGTGTAACGGGGGTAATGGTCGCTGTAGCCGCATGCTCCTCAGATTTCGACCGTTCAAAGGCAGGAGCTACGTGCATCTACAGGATCAGAACCTCTCCCTTCTGTTTAAAGTTCCAGAATCCGACATCGTCCATATTGAGTCACCTGATAACGAAACCACCCAGCCGCATGAAGATTCCCGATCTTCTGAATCCTCTGAAACCGTAACTTCCTCTATAGATTCTCGTTCAGCTGCTTCCGCCTCTGTGAATTCCCCCTCCACCTCCCTTCCTCCCCCTGTCGCGACCCCGACCTCCTTATTCGACGCCATTGCCGTGCCGCTTCGTGCGGGGTTGGATGCGGTTCACAGGGATATGCAATTTGCCGCCGAGTCGCAGCTAAGACGGTCCACTTTGGACCGATGCAAACTCGTGGTGCGGCTCGGGAAGCTGCTCTTCGGGCCGCCGTTTGAAGCTCCGGGGTAAGTCATGTGTGAGAGAAGAGCGGCGAGACAGGGGGGGAGATAGCGGGATAATGTCCTCGGCGGGGAAGCGAGGGAGGGGTGGATTTAAGCTCGTGCTGCGGCTGGGAAAGCTGCTGTTCGCGCTTTCATTTGGATTCAAGTTTCAGGGTTTAGGGTGAGTGAGTCGGTTGGGAAGAGACAGAGGGGGGAAACAGGAGTGAAGGCAAGGGGGAGAGGCATGTGAAGTCGATTCTCAACAGACACAAGCACCGCCTCATATGTTCCCTTTCCGTCTCTGCACCTCTTTGCACTTCCCTTCACACAGGGATCTCCTCCCCAACCTGCCGCCCTTCACAGCGGGCGCATTGGAGTCGGTTTTCAACCGCCATGTGCAGGTCATCATGTACCCCCCCTGGTCTCTCAACCTTTCTGAACCCCTCTGAACCTCTCTGAACCTCTCTGCATCTCTTTTCACACCCTCCCAGGGATCTCCTCCCCAGCCTGCTGCCCTTCACAGCGGGCGCGTTGGAGGCGGTTTTCAACCGCCTACCAGGCGGCACGTCCAGCTTCAACCGTGCAGGATCTACAGCCCAGCGCCTGCCAGCCAGGGTGCACCGGTCGCTGGAAACAGGCATGCCTGAGCCACTCTTCCAGGCTGTGGAGAATATTGCTACAGAAGTGGACGGGGCGAGTACGTGCATGCGAGAGGCGTACCACATACGGGTATGTTCCATGTGGCTTGTGAGGGGTATTGCCACTTAAGGGCCTGCCAGCCAGAGTGCACCGGTCACTGGAAACAGGCATGCCTGAGCCGCTCTTTCAGGCTGTGGAAGGCATTTCTATGGCGGGGGATGGGGCGAGCATGCGCATGCGAGATGCGAACCACATATGGGTATGCAAGCAGATGCACGAAAGAGATGTGACATGCATGGGCATGTGCTGTGTGCCGTATACCACTTTGATAGCAAGGGGAATCGGGAGTGGGAGGGAGGGGGGACACATCTTTTTCGTTCCTCTTATCGTTGTGTGCATGGACTTGTCTGTCGCGCCCTTTTGTCTCCCATTTCGCCTGATCCGTTACAGGTAATAGACACAGACCAGATGGACTTAGAGTACAAGCTTACATGCAAGCCTAATCCAGATGGCACAGGGATTATCCTCATTAAGGTGAGTTTCATTTTTTCGCAGTGCACATCTCCTTAAAAGCCTCTTCAATTGCATTAAATCCTTTGCATCCCACCCCAACTTGATCCTGCCCTCCCTCGGCCTATCCGTCCCACTTCTGCACTGCGATGCATTGCACTCCTCTCCAGGTGAAGCGCAAATGCTGTGCGCTATTGAGTCATTGACGTGGCTCCCCCCTCCATAGAATTTGACTTCCTCCTCATGCTCTCCCTGTGTACTCCCTGTGTGCGCTCCCGGTGTACATTCCCGTGCCTTGCACCCCACCAGGTGAAGTACGAGACGCTGCGCTACGCAGTCATTGATGTCTCTCGCCCCTCCAAGGAGATTGACTTCCGCCTCATGCTCTCCACTGAGACCCGCCTCTGCTCGCTCGATGTAAGTGTGTGCTCTCTTGATGTATGTCTGTGACGCTGGGCTGGTGCTCATAAGCTGGTGCTCATAAGCTGGTGCTCATGGGCTGGTGCTGCTGTCATGTGACCGGGGGAGCATTGACTTCCGCCTCATGCTCTCCACTAAGACCCGCCTCTGCTCTCTCGATGTAAGTGTGAGACGTGTGTGTGCCCGTGTCACATGTGCTTGTACCACATGCTCTTTACAGAGACCCGCCTCTGCTCTCTTGATGTAAGTGTGTACGGTGTGTGTGCTCTCTTGATGTAAGTGTGTACAGTGTGTGTGCTCTCTTGATGTAAGTGTGTACGGTGTGTGTGCTTTCTTGATGCATGTGTGTGCGGTGTGTGTGCTCTCTTGATGTATGTCTGTGATGCATGCATGTGCCACTCTCACGTGACGTGGGGGCCATTGACTTCCGCCTCATGCTTTCTACTGAGACCCACCTCTGCGCTCTCGATGTAAGTGTGCAACAGAGTGCATGTATGCATGTATGCATGTATGCATGTGCAGTGCTTCACATGAGCCAGAAGCCATTGACTTCCACGTCATGCTCTCCGCTGACACCCGCCTATGCAACACATACACATGTTCTTGTAACGTGTGCGTGCGTTTCCTCTTTGTGGTGCCTATTCCAGTTCATTCAATTTCTCTCTTCTCAAGCTCTCTCGCTCCCGATCAAACTTCATTTCCTCCCCCCCCACCCCTTTCCCCTTCCCCTCCCACCCAGGAGGCCACCCGATCCGTGTGTGAGCGCATAGCATCGACAGCAATCATTGAGGACAACTCAAAGGGCGGCTTACACTGGCCGATCACCTTGGACTTCCACGTCGGCATGACAGAAGCGCGTTCATCACCGCATGCACCAGCCCCGTCGCACCGGTTCAGAGTGACAAGCGTGCGGCATCAGAGGCGGCTGCACGTGCAGTCAGCCGGGCAGGTGTGGAAGCTGTCACGAGTGAATGGAGTTCAGTTCAACCATGGAGGAGGGCGCCTCACGAATGAAGCAGAGTTTTCCCTGCTGGCCTGGCGAGATGCTATGAAGGTGCGGTGTTGGTGTGAGATGGTGCGGTGCTGGTGTGAGTGTGTGCGTGTGTATGTGCATGCGTCTGTGTGCTTAGAAGGTGTGCTTCCTTCTGCCCAGGGTTCTCAGAGAGCTCTTGGATTTCTTTTGCAAAGGAAGTTGAGATAGTGTTTATGTCCCAAATATTTTCCCCTCTTATTTGCGCCTTTCTCGATGCCATGATTGCTGCAACTGATGCAGTTCAATGCGGAAGTAAGTGCAGGCATGGGTGCTAGTACTCCTTCTCCTTCCTCCCTACCCAGCAAGCCCCCGCCTACAAGCTACTCTGCGGAATCTTGCTTTGACTCAAGCTTGCAGCAGGCAGCACCACAGTGGACTCCAGACAGAATTCTCGCTGATTGCCCTGCCCTTATAGCCTGGTTGGAGCAGCACCTGCCCTAAGAGTTGGCAATGCGAGCGTGCACTAATGTGGTAGTATTTTTGCCCACAAATACCGTAAACGTCTTGGGCGTAAGATATTTTGAGAGGCACGGTGCAATGAGAACAAAGGGCAATGGGAGTTTGCACAAGTGCGGGAGTTTGTATCAGTCTGCCAATAGTAGAAGTTGAGTATGTAGATATTGTTGTGAGGAAAATTTTGTAGAACATCAGCCTTTGGCATCGTAATACCGTACAAGCTCCGTCCAGTAACGAGTTTCAGATGTGAATTCGCGATGACTTCAAGGTGACTCCTCGCCCGCTCCAATCAAAAGTCTTGCCGCCATCCAACAATCGCAAACATGGTTTCCGCCGCGCATGCTTCCTGCGATTCTGCAACCTCCTCTGTTGATGCGCCTGGGATTTCGTGGAATTCCTCCAAGTAGTTGATTTGTTCCATCTCCATTTTCTCTTGTCATTTTCAGCCGAGATATAACGTAACTTCAACCCTCCACTTCCATTCCAGCAGTTGAGATCACGCCATTCCGTTTAGGTATTCTCATTCACGGAGTTGCCCTCGAGAAACCCAGTATATTTTTTATTCTTCCGAAGAAATTGTCGGGATCAGCCATGCCGTACGTTCCTCCTCACATGCGAGCTGGTGCAACAACTTCCGGTGAACCTCCTCCCCGAACGACACCAGCAGCTTCGGGTCGAGGCCATGCAGGCTCGGAGAATAGGTCCGGGAGAGTCCGAGGCAGAGGCCGTGGTCAGGCGGGTGGCCGAGGCAAGAATCTTGTTGCGAGCAAAATTGCGATAAAAAATGCTCGCGATGTTGTGCTGGCTACAGTAATCGACGATTATGCCGAGCGAGAATCTTCCGTTATTGAAACACCTTGCAGCAGCAACTGTGCTTGTAACGGGGGCAAAGGTCGCTGCAACCGAATGCTGCTTAGATTCCAGCCGTTCAAAGGGAGGAGCTACTTGCACCTACAGGATCAGAATCTCTCCCTTCTAGCGAGAGTTCCAGAAGCTGAATACGACCACATCGAATCACTTGATAACGAGAGCAACCAGCCAACTGGTTCCCCCATCGCTACCCCGACCTCCTTATTCGACGCCATATTTGAGCAGATTCGTTCGGGGTTGGAAGCGGTATACAGGGAGATGGAGTTTGCCGCCCAGTCGCAACTCAGGCGGTCCACCTTGGACCGATGCAAGCTCGTCGTGCGGCTGGGGAAGCTGCTGTTCGGGCCGCCGTTTGGATCGCCAGAGTGAGTTGTGGGAGGGAGGGGGAGGTTGGAGGGGTTGGGAGGGATTGGAGGTGCACCAGTCGCTGGAGACGGGCATGCCAGAGCCGCTCTTTGCCATCCCCTCCTTCCTTGCTCCCCCCGTATCCCCTCATATGAACCAATCCGAACCTCTTTTCACCCCTCTCAGGTCGCTCCTCCCCAGCCTAACGCCCTTCACGGCAGGAGCTTTGGAGTCCACTCTAAACAGGCGCGCGCAGCGCCTGCCAACCAGGATGCACCGCTCTTCCTCTTCCCCTCCTCCCCTGCTCTCCATATCCCCTCATGCTCACCTCTCTGAACCTCTCTGCGCCTCTTTTCACCTCTCTCAGGTCGCTCCTACCAAGTCTACCGCCCTTTACAGCTGGCGAGTTAGAGTCCACTCTAAACAGGCGTGCGCAGCAGCGCCTGCCAACCAGGGTGCACCGGTCGCTGGAAACAGGCATGCCTGAGCCGCTATTCCAAGCTGTGGAGAATATTGTGATGGCGGGGGATGGGGCGAGCGCATGCATGAGAGAGACCTACCACATACGGGTATGTATGTGCCGTCCTTAGCACGTACGCACTCTGGATTGGGCTGGAGACAGGTATGCCTGAGCCGCTCTTCCAAGCTGTGGAGAATATTGTTATGGCGGGGGATGGTGTCAGCGCATGCATGAGAGAGACGTACCACATTCGGGTATGTGCCATGTGCCATGTGCCAGCCTTAGCACGAAGGTACTCTGGATTGAGCTGGAGTCAGGCATGCCAGAGCCTCTCTTCCAGGCTGTGGAGGGTATTGTTATGGCGGGGGATGGGGTCAGCGCATGCATGAGAGAGACCTACCACTTTCGGGTATGTGCCATGTGAGGGTATATGGCATGCGAGTAGAGTTGCCTTATACGTGTATGTGCCGTGTGCTAGCCATGCGACACTGGCATGGCATGAGGCTGGTATAGACAGCTTGGCAGCCAAAAACGGACATACCATTTAGAGGGGTGCAGAGAGGTGTAGTGAGCTGTTATCGTCACGTCCTTCTTTAGGAACTTCTCTTCTGCACCCGTCTGTCCTATGTTGCCAATCCGTCACAGGTACAAGACACAGAGCAGGTTGACACGGAGTACAAGCTGATCTGCAAGCCTGATCCGGATGGCTCAGGGGTTATCCTCGTTAAGGTATGCTTGATATGTTGTGTTTACTGCTCATACGAGTTTGGCAATCCTTTTTCTAGACTTTAGTGGATGCATTCCCTATCTTTGATTTCCCAGTGAATGCATTCTTTTCCATCCCATACTCACTGCATGCTTCCTCCCCTCTGCCCATCCATCCCACGCCTGCACTGCACTGCCTGGCAAACTCCCCACAGGTGAAGCACAACCCGCTGCGCTATGCGGTCATCGACGTCTCTCGCCCCTCCAAAGCCATTGACTTCCGCCTCATGCTCTCCACCGACACGCGCCTTTGTGCTCTTGATGTAAGTGTGAGACATGTGTATGTGCCTCTGCCACGTGTGCCTCTGCCACCCTTCGCACTCCCTTCACCTCCCCTCGTTTATGACCAGGATGCCACTCAGTCAGCCTGTGAGCGCATAGCGTCAAGGAGAGCTCAAAAGGCGGCCTGCACTGGCCCATTTCACTCGATTTTGACGTCGGAATGAAGGACCCGCGCTCACCATCCCATGCACCACCATCAGCACCCTCACACCGCTCATTCCCTCCCCAATCTTTTTCTACTTCCCATCCCTTTCTCCGACCCTTCCCCGTCACACAGGAGGCTACCCGATCAGTATGTGAGCGCATAGCATCGACTGCAATCATCGAGGAAGGCTCAAAAGGCGGCCTGCACTGGCCTATCACCCTCGACTTTGACATGGGCATGAAGAACCCGCGCTCACCATCCCATGCACCAGCAGCAGCAGCAGCAGCAGCAGCAGCAGCAGCGCCAGCACAGCGGTTCAGAGTGAAGAGTGTGCAGCATCAGAAGCGGCTCAAGGTGTTTGGGGGCGGGCAGGTGTGGAAGCTGTCGCGAGTGAACGGGGTGGAGTATGACCATGGGGGAGGGCGACTCACGAATGAAGCAGAGTTCTGCCTGCTTGCGTGGAGAGACGTCATGAAGGTTAGTGAGTGAGACTCACTTTTGCATGAATCTGTGCATGTATGTGTGTGCATTAGAGGGTGCACGCATGCAGGCAGGTGTGGAAGCTGTCGCGAGTGAACAGGGTGGAGTATGACCATGGGGGAGGGCACCTCACCAACGAAGCAGAGTTTTGCCTGCTGGCCTGGCGAGACGTCATGAAGGTTAGTGAGATGCCTGGTGTGCTTCTGAGTGTGAGTGTGCACGTGTGCGTGTAGGTGTGTGTCTGTGTGCTTATGGTGCCTCACCAACGATGCAGAGTTCTGTCTGCTGGCCTGGCGAGACGTCATGAAGGTGAGTGAGACGCTAGTGCGTCTGTGTGCGTGCATGTGTTGTGCATGGGTGCGTCTGTGCTTAGAATGGGCGTTGCTGACGAAGCGTAGTTTTGCCTGTTGCTGTGGGATGCTCCTGGGTTTGTTGTGCAATGGGATTATAAATTTCGTTTTACTGTTTTCCTTCCGACTCGTACATCTCAATTGATGCAGGCAAAACAGGGTGGAAATGACGGCACAGCTGTTGCTTCTTCTCCTTCTCCTCTACCTAACGAGCCTTCACCCAAAGTCTACTCCGCGGAATCTTGCTTTGACTCGAGCTTGCAGCAGGCAGCACCACAGTGGACTCCAGACACCATTCTTGCTGATTGCCCTGCCCTCATTAACTGGCTGCAGGAGCACTTGCCATAGGGAACAACAGCTCGAGCATGTTATCAGCTAAGACTCAATAATAGGCATAAGTTTCTTATTGTATGCCTTTGAAAATACCTTCCAGGACTAAGTTTTACACCAATCAGCGCAAGCTGTAACTCTTTTTTCAAGTTCCTCGTATTTGCTCACTGCTTGTATCGGATCTGAATATACGAGGGCCACAAGCTTCATTCAACGCTTAGAATTCTTCAGCCCACCTCGTGATTGCTCAAGTGCCAGCAATTCCCTGAGCCACCACAGCAGAATTCGTGGTAGCTTTTGGTTAGTTCCAACTTTCGTTAGTTCAAGGGATGGCTGCAGCAGGAAGCCATGGCTGTACGCTCGTGTCCAAGAACCTGTGTAGCTAAACGGCGGATCGCTTTAGCCTCATGGAACTTTTTTCTTCCAGCTGACGCTCCAAAATGCGTGCGTTACCCCAGGCTGAGACATCTGTCAGGGGTTAAAAAACTTAAATTCCTTCGGTTAGAGAAATTCCTGACGGAATATTTTCTATGTTATGGCACTCTATGAGTCCTATAGGCAGCGATTCAAGCTATCAGCGAGAAGCGGCGGTCCGCTCACTCATTCCCCTGACGCCAGAATTCTAACACTCGTGGATGATTACGACGACAGGCAGTCCGATAGCGCGAACCTCGCTCCAGATGGGCGAATTTCGCTGTTTTTCGAGCAGTTCGGTTGCGAAAGTTACCCATATCTTCGCAAACGTCGTCTCGCGATGCTGTCCAAGGCACCAATTCGAGGCACTCTGGAAGACTGGCTTGCTAATAGCGATAGATTCGCGGGTAAATGGGAGAACGATCCGAAAAGTGACGTCATAAGGATGTTTCATGGCGATATCAACGAGGACCGTGATGGGGTTGCTACCGGAGCGACAAATAACGGGTACAACGGCGAGGTTCTCTCGCGTTTGAATGACACCGACGGTGGGGATTGTAGCAGGAAATGCGCAGACAGCGGAAATAGCTCACGGGAGACGAGATTGTTGAATGCGATTCAGCTGCCTCTGACAGAAGCTCTAGACTTGGTCCGTGAGAAATTGCAGCGCCATGCTGTGACAGCAGAGAGTGCTGCTGCTGAGAATGGATTCAGGAGGGTCGAGCTCCTGGTCCGGCTTGGCAAGCTGCTCTTCTCGGCCCATGGCAACAGGTACTGTACGTGCATAGAGATTGTGCTGAACCTGTAGTGAAAGTGTGTACTGAAGGTGTACCAAATGTGTGCTGAAGTGTGTTGAGTGTGCAGGGATAAGGAAGGTTAGCTACCGACGGTGTGGATATACTGATACACTGAATGTCTGCTGCATCTGTGCTGAATAGGTGCTGAGTGAAGGTGTCCTGAGCTAGTGCTTGCATTCCGATGCACTAAAAAGCTGTCTGGTCTGATGTGTTGCATATGACGCCAGGATCATGATTCAAATGTTCGCCTGACTCCCTTCTCCATCTCATTTTTTCCTGCCAGAAATCGACTGACCAAGGTTCCACCCTTCTCTGCACAACGACTAGAGGGCTACATGAACGGAAGCGAGCAGCAGTTGAAGCTGCCGATTCACAGGGTGTTTGAGACGCACGTCCCTGACAGCGTCTATGGCAGACTGGAGGAGATGGTTATGAAAGATTCAAGTCGGGTTTGCAAGAGTAGTGAGAAATACGACATTCAGGTGAAAATTAATATCCCACGGTTGATTTTTTCTGCAGATGAATTTATTTAGTCAGAGTAAAATGTCAATCAATCTGTGTGCTGAATACTCATGTGATTTGTATATTTCAGGTACTTGATACCTGGTCGCGAGTAATCTACAGGGCAAGCTGTTTATATGATGCTGAAGAGAAATGTTTCCTTATTAAAAAGGTGAGATCGGCTAATCTGAAAGGATTGATTTCGAGAGCACAGAGGTTGAAGGACATGCGTGTTATGACAGCTGCAGCCAGAAAAACAAAGCACCTTCTGCATTTATTTGGAACTGAATTGACCTCAGACGCATTGGAGAAACGTTCAGGTGCTATTAAAAAAACTGAAGCCTGTGCCTCTGATTTCAGGTGAAGAAGTTTCCGGTTCGCTATGGGGTTTTTGAAATCGCACGGCCTGGCAAAGCCGTGGATGCCCGTTTGATCCTGACCGTTGAGACACATTTGCCAACTCTAGACGTGAGTGCCCCACACATGCATGCATTCACGGGAATGATGATGAGAAGGGGTCCCCAGCATACTGTTATGTACTGCTATTGTGTCCTGCTAATATTTTATAGCATAACCTGTCAGCTGTCATGTATAAAAATAGTGATCGGTAATAATGAATCCGTACCCATTTCCGCCTTCCTCCAGGAAACAGTCAGAGCTGCATTCCGCAAGGTCCTGGAAGCAGCGCAGATTGACCCACAGAGGCCGGGAGGGGTGCACATTCCAGAGCACATGATTGAAGGCCACAATGGCTTTGACGTTACCGGCATGGAATGTGATTCCAACAGCAGTGCCTCTGCAGATAGCAGCAGAATTTCTAGTGCTCACAATGTCAACACGGTAGGTTCTGATGTCAGCAGCAGATTCTCAGCCAATAGAACTGTAAATTCCGGTGGTGGGAGCAGCAGCAGTGAAGAGAGCGGGAGGTTCCAAGTGCGAGCTGTCAGGCAATTAACTGTGAGGAAAGTGCAGGCAGAAGGGAGGCTGTGGAGATTCTCCTGTGTGGATGGGATCGAGTACAAGCAGGGAGGCGGGCGGAAAACGAACATAGTGGAGGTCTGCCCAACAGTGTGGCAGCAGCAGCTTAAGGTAATACAGGGTATGTCCGTCATTGTCTCCCCCGGTATGCCCCATCTGCTCGGCATGCAGAACAGGTCATGAGGGTATGCTCCCATCTTGTTTCACCCTTGCTGTGTCTCATTTGGCTCGTGATTCATTCAACATAGCTCACATGTGCCAGCATGTGCCATTCCATCTTCTCTTGGCTGTTCTCCCGTCCCCTAACGAGGTGGACAGTGGGGAGCTTGGCTTCTCTAGGGAGCAGTAGCAAACCCACGGAGCAAATCAATACGGAGTGCCCTGCATTTCTCGCATTCTCTCTTGCTTGGTCCCCCATCTCCTAACCAGGGAGACGCTTGGGAGCGTGGTTGCTCCATGGAGCAACAGCAGCACCCCACATGGACCTCAGAGCACGTCATTACGAAGTGCCCTGCGCTGCTCTCAAGTTGTCTTGCTTGCTCTCCCATCCCCTGTGCAGGGTGACAGTGGGCAGCCTGACTCTTTCAGCCACCAGCAGCAGCACCCCACATGGACCACAGAGCACATCATTACGGGGTGCCATGCGCTGCTCTCATCTTGTCTTGTTTGTTCTCCCATCCTGTATGCAGGGTGACAGTGGGCCACCTGACTCTTCCGGCCAGCAGCAGCAGCACCCCACGTGGACCTCAGAGCACATCATTTCAGAGTGCCCTGCGCTGCTTGCATGGCTAGCTCGGAATTTGCCGTGAACAATCCACCCACCCAGTAGTGCAGTATGTCTTAACACTGTTTTGAGTCCGTCCTGTCTGCCTTTGGAAGGCAGGCTTTCTCTAAAAAGGATAGCTACAACTTGTAACACTGTACAGCTACACTTGCTTGCCATATGTACATCCAAGAACTAGCAACACTGTACAGCTACACTTGCCATATGTACATCCAAGAACTAGTAACACTGAACAGCTACACTTCCTTGCCATATGTACATCCAAGAACAAGCTGGAGCAGCAGTTGCATCATTTCAAGACCAATCAGAGAAGCCCCAAATCCCTGAGCTGCCTCTCATGTTCCGGCAGCAGTGGCGGTGGCGACCAATCAGGAGGGAGGGTCATTCCAGACAAATCCTCCACGATATATTCCTGGGGAGGGTATGGAACGGATGTGGAGAAGGGAGGAGGGGAACAAGGAGGACGAGGAAGAACCACAGGTGGAAAACTACAGCCAAATCCTCCACAATGAATTCCTGGAGGGGTATGCTTGGAAAGAAAGGAGGAGGCAGGCCCCAAAATGTCAGGGTATTTTACCCTGATTGCCCTGACTGGCGGCCGCTTTTTTTTGAAGTACCCTGACGCAGTCAGACTCCCAGGCTTTAAACACTGACTGGAAATTTGTTTGAAATTTTTTACCCTTATAGAATCAAAGTTCGCGTTTCGTTCCCCTGACTTCATCAGTGTTCTTTCCCACTTACCCTGATACCGAGTTCCTCGAAGCGAGGATTCTGCTACACTACACATACACTGCACCTGTGACGCGGTGCCACTCTCCCATCTTGTCGCACCCGCCCTATGGTGAAAAACTGCCA